TCTTTTATGATGATAAGATTGAACAGTGGGATCAGACTAATCTATCTATTAGAAAGATCAGCTTTCAACTAATGGTCACTGTTGGTCATTGCCTAGACTTGTTTTCATTTAGGGTGTCCCTCAATATTTAAACAATTTTTTAAATGAAAAGTGGTATATGCTTATTGAAAAAAATTGGCAACATAGAAAAATAATCATCCCCAAATAATCACCCAGGTCCCCAAACTACCCCCGCCTGCCGAATTACAGTTGATATTTTGGTATATTTCCTTTTAGTCTTTATTTTGAATTCCTGCATAGTATTTTATCCTGTATTTGAACATTGGGTTGTTTAAAATTTTTATTGTTATAAATAATGCTTTGATAAAATATCTTTGTCTTACGATCGCATCTAAATTCAGATGATTTCCTTGGAGTAGATTTCCAAAGTATAATTCATGGGTCAGAAGATATGAGTTATTTTAAAATACTTGATATATATTACCAAATTGCTTGAATAAAAATTCCAGCTGTTAAAAAAAATGACTGAGCTATACATTTTATACACAAGTACTAGTAGGAGCTAGACAAGTGGCTGTTTTTCTAAGACCTCTAAATTATTCAATACCTCATGGACTGAGAAATTTCGTTCATAAAAATATAATGATTCTAGACCCTTTATTTTCATATCCTAAATAGGAATTGTGGTCTAAGGATGTTATCAGTATTGACTTTTCCCTTGAGCCTCGTGGTAGGCAACACTGCTAAGAATAATTTTATATGAGTACTTTTGTCTTTGTATGGAAAGGTGTTGAACAAGCTATGTTAACACTTCAGATGCAGAGGCTAACTACAGCAGCCCTGGAGATTAAGGTCAAGAGCTCAACTTTCAGGTGTACCTCTTGAGAAATAAAGCTTCTCTCTAAACTTGAAAGGAAATTGCTATGACTTCAGTAGGGACGGGGTCCTCTGTGGCTTCTAAGCAGCAAAGAAGGCAGTTTGGTATTATACTGGCTTTGAAGTAAAACAGACTTGGAATCAGCCTAGACCAGGTATTTATAGGATTGAGGCTTCTGAGCCCTTACTTACTGGTCTGTAAAGTGGACCTAGGGATGCTTGTCTTTTTTAGAGTTATTTATACTTAGGAACTATTGACATAATCATTAGGATTTGGGGGTTAGAAGCTATTCTAGTAGAATAAGACTGTTAAGTCTAGTATCGAGAATACAATAAGTATATATTTGGTGGAATGAAGCAGATAGGGCCTTCACATTTCAGGAGTTATTTCAGGCTGTAGAGACATTTTCATCTAAGTTATAAAAATATTCTATTGTTCTTAAAGCCAAGAAAGTACTCCATCATACTTGTAAGAAACTGCCTTGACAGATTGATTCATTAAATATACATTTATATTGAGTGTCAATTTTATGCCAGGAATGTGAAATTCTGAAGTGGCGAAGAGAGATTCTGCTGGGATATGATTAATAGGTAAAGCAGTAATTAGAATGTTGTATGAAAAGTGCTGTAATAGATATGGACATAGGGTCCTATTCAAGTGCAGAGATTGGAGCCTCCTTGGGTCAGGAAAGGCTTCCTGGGTACTGCCACTGGTAATGCTGGGCCTAGTTCTTCTTTGAGCAGTGTGAAAGATGGGTTGGAGGGCCTAAGACTGGAAACAGGGAGACAAGCAATGAAGCAATGCCAACGGGAGTGTACAGATTTGAGAATCTTCTGGTGAGAGAATCAGTCAAACTTTGTGACAGGGTCAGGATGAGAGAAGGCAGCTTTGGCCCAGGCTTCTAGCTAAGCTTACTGTAGGATGCTCAACTTAGAGAGTCTTCCTGAATAATTCATAAGATGACAGTGCTGTTTATAATGTACTTATTATTTATGCTTCTTTAACTGACAGCTCCAATATTTATTTAACACCTACTATAACCCAGCTACTGTTATACAAGCTGAGAATACAGCACTGAACAAAAGAGATCTGTGTTCTCATGAAGCTTACACTCTCAAGGGGGAAACAGGTAAATAAAATTTAAGAAAAGTAAGGCAGGAACAAAGGATAGAGAATAACCAGGGCAGGGAAGATTTGAGGGGTGCTCTTAAATAAAAAGATGAAGGAAGACTTCTTGAGTCGATATTTGAATCGCATCATTCCAAGTAAAGAATATGTATAAAGGCCCTAATGCAAGAGTGTGTTTGGCATGTTTCTTAGTGTAGGAGGGAAGCCACAGTTAATGAAGTGGGATGAATAATAGGGAAAAAGAGAAGAGAGATAAGCAGTGGTCACTTCACACAGGGTATTTGCACTTTATTCTAAATATGATGAAAAGCCATAGTAGGGTTGAGAGCAAGGGATTGATGTAATCTAACTGGCTACTATGTGGAAAATTAGTCTGTAAGGGACATGAACAAAAAGTAGAAGCAAACAGACTAAAGCAGGAGGCTGTTGCAGTGTTCCAGGCAAGGTCTAATGCTTACTTGGATCAGTAATAGCTGTGAAGTGAAGAAACTGTCAAATTTGGGATGTATTTTGAAGATTGAATCTACAGGATTTGTTGAGTGTAAGAAAGAAAACTCAGGGGTTTTGCCAAAGTTTTGCCCCAAGCAACTGGATTAATGGTGGCTCCATTTTTTTTCTTTTTAAATATATCTTTATTGATTTCAGAAAGAGGAAGGAAGAGGGAGAGATAGAAACATCAATGATGAGAGTCATTGATCGGCTGCCTCCTGCATGCCCCCTGCTGGGGATTGAGCCCGAAACTCGGGCATGTGCCCTGAATGGGAATCGAACTGTGATTTCCTGGATTCTAGGTTGATGCTCCACTGCTGAGCTGTGCCTGGCCGGGCGGTGACTCCATTTTTTGAGATCTGGGAGATACAAGGGGCCCAGAATAGGCAAAAAACAGTCTTGATAAAGGACAAAGCTGAGGGTTTACACTTTCCAATTTTACAACTTATTAATCAATACAGTGTAGTACTGACATAAGGATAGATATATAGATCAGTGGAATAGAATTGAAAGTGCAGATGTAAAACCATACATTTCTGCGCAGTTTTTGACAAGGGTATCAGGACAATTCAGTGAGTGAAAGTGTCTTTTCAACAAATGTGGCTGGGATCAATGAATATCCACATGCAAAATTAGTGGTATCTACCTCATACCATATATAAAAAAAATGGATCAAAGACCTAAATGTAAGTGCTAAAGCTATGAAACTCTTAGGGGTCAATCTTTATGACCTTATATTTGGCAATGGCTTTTTAGATTCTTAGACACCAAAAGCACCAACAATAAGAAAAAAAATAAATTGGACTCCATCAAATTTTAAAACTGTTGTGTACCAAAGGACATTATCAAGAAAGTGAAAAGAAAAGCTACAGACTGGGAGAAAATACTTGCAAATTATATGTCTGTACAGGTCTGTATTTCAGAATATATAAAGAACTCTTACCATTAAAAACAAAAACATAAACCAATTAAACTAAAGGAGTTAAATAGACTTTTCTTCAAAGAAGATATACACATGAAAAGATGGTAAACATCATTAGTCATTAGGGAAATACAAATCAAAAAGCACAATGAAATAACACCTCATATACCCAGTAGGACGGCTATTAACAAACAAACCAAAAAAACCCAAATGTTGGCAAAACTGTGGAGAAGTTGGAATCCCAGTACATTGTTGGTGGGACTGTGACATGATGCAACCACAGTGGGGAAAAAAACCAGTAAGGTACTGACACATGCTATAACATGAAAACATATGTTAAATGAAGGAAGCCAGTTACAAAAGCCCACATATGTATGATTCCATTTATAGGACATGGTCAGTATCCGCAAATCCACAGATTAGTGGTTTCCCAGGACTGGGAGTTTGAGGAAAAATGGAGAATGACTGCTAATAATAACATATTCCTTTTTCATTAACAAAAATGTCCTAAAATTGATGTGGTGATGGTTGTTCATCTCTGTGGATATACTCAACACCATTGAATATATGTGAATTATAGCTCAATAAAGTGGTTATATTGAAACAAAAAAGAATGACAATGGCAGAGTCAGGATGGGCATTGGAGGTGTGAGGATAGTGGAGAAGATGTGAAATAGCCTCTGGGAGAGTATAAGAATAAACTGACTATGGAAACATTAGGATTACTAAGCAATACTTGAGGGGCCACTTGAGGTTTGTGGTGTTAAATATAATGTGAGCCCGGTTGGCACTGTTGTGTTGCTTAGGTAGGAACATATAAGAGGTGGAGGGCTAGATTTAACCAAAATTGGGTTTTGCCAGGAGTACAAGAGAAATTAGAAATAAGCTGAGGGAGTATTCAAGGGAATTGTTAATGTAATAACTGAGATCTAAGGTAAGAAGGAAATTGAGACCATAACAAGGTAATGAACACTGAAAAGGTGATAGTTTGGAATTAGATATCCTAGAGAGGCTGAAGAATTATTGGAGTTGGGGTACTAGAGGGAGTGAATTGGAAAAGCTCGGTGATGGTGGTCAGAGAATGGGCCATCTGAAATTGAGAGCTTGCAAGTGGCATGATTATTATTGACAGGCTCAACCAGGGTTTCTCATCAGAACCACAACACAGAAAATGAACAGATTGTTATCCTACTTCTCCCAAGGATGGTACAAAAAGTACTAACCATTCTAAGTGCAGCAGACAGAGGTTAATTCATCATATACAATGCATGCCGAAGAGCATTAGGCTTGCTTCTCTCTCAGAACCCCCCTTGAGAAAGGCTGGGACGGTATGATCCATGAACTAGATAGCCAAGAGGTTAAGGAACTGAGAGGCAAGAGTATTGGATGGATCATACCTTAGGTTGAAATGTATAAAATCTGCAACTTCATGTGCTTCGGTGTAATACAGTATATACATATTGAAATCACCAAGAATGATGGCAAGAGGTGAAGAGAAAGATGGTAAGTGATGTGTTAAAATTTTTAGTGAATGGCTGGAAGTGCGAGTGGCTGGTGGGGGGCAGGGGACCAGGAGAATAGGAGATGACTACTTCAGGGTTCGGTAGCAGGGGTAACACCATGGTTTGTGCTTCAAACTAGGTTTTCCCAGTAGGCTGGAATCAACAGCGAGGAAGAAGAGGATGTCTACCCCAACTGCAGGTCAGTAGCACTGTGGTGTAAGGAGAAACAAGCCAAGTGCTTGAGAATGTGCAAGAAGCAGTATCCTCAGAGGACAGCCGTCTTTCAGTGAGAGCAAGAGGAAGAGAACTTTCAGAGGAGGTTGAGAATGTCGGGGGCTTTGTTGATCACCGACATGAATTCCAGAAGGCAGAGTCATTTCCAGAGTAGGAGAGGGTAATTCAGTCAGATTAGAAAAGCCCTCCCAGATGACAGATTACTTATGTGAGGATGAGAATCTCGGGGATGAGAGATGCCAGGGAGGCTTGGATTTCTTGTGGTGTCCGCGGTAAATGGACTTAAGGCATGCTTTATCCTAGTTATTCTTAAAGGAGCAGTGCTGGCCAATGGAACTGTCTGTAATGATAGAAATATCCTAGATCTGTGGGGTCAAGTATGGAAGCCAGTAGTCACGTGGCTATTGAGCACGTGAAATGTGGCTCATGGATTTTAGTTTCATACTGAATTCCCTCTGCCTGCTGCTAGTTGAAATAGCTGTCTCAACCCTCATAAACTGGAGGTGGAGGCTCCTTTAAGAGCAACTTAATACTTTTCCGTTCCTTTGTAGGGGTAGTAGGTTTCAAAGGAAAAACTTAGCTTCAAGGTCCATCCTGATCCTAACATTAAATAATAGAATTAGCATGTAGTTCCCAGCCATCTGCAAATCTCTCCCCTCAGATTCTTTTCTACTTGCCCACTTACCACTTACTACTACTTTTTCTCTTCCCACCCTTTACCCTCTTATTTCCCTGGAGAGGCAGCCTGCTCTTGGAGAAGAACATGTGCTTCTTTAAAGTCAGACTTGTGTTGCATTCCATGGTGGTTGTTTTTTTGGTTTGTTTTAGCTTTGTGATCTTGATCAGGTTACTTAATATTTCATCATCTATAAAATATAGATAATGATATATGCCTTGTAGGGTTTTGTTCTAAGGATTGAGATTATGTTTATAAAGTCCCTGGTACAGAGCAGGTCCTCATAAAACAAGAGCTCTTTTCTCCCCCTTGAATCCATTGCTGTGATTTAATTTGGCAAATATTTAATAGTGTCTAATATGTGCTAGATTCTGAGGATGCTGAAGAGATCAAAACAAAACTCAGGATCTCTAAATTCAGAAAGTTGCATGGTGTAGAAAGGAGATGGACATACGAACAAATAACAGGAATGTGCTAAGTGCAATAGCGATATATATAAAGTGCTAGAAGCAATTAATTTTTTTCCAGCCCTGTCTGTAGAGTGGTTTCCAAGTATTTGTTTTGGAAAAAATACTTGGTAGTCAAGATGGGGGACAAATGGAAAGAGAGAAAGAAAAAAACAACCCTTTTAAGAATTGATTTCAGCAAGGCCCTTGATAAAATCTCTCATGAAGTCCGTGTACATAAGATGGAAAAATGTGGACTGGCTGATAGAATAGAAGGAGGACTTGAAGGTGGCTAATACAACTATGTCCAGGATATTTTTTCTCCTGTAGTACTTTATTTTTACTTATAAAATCTCTGTGTTGAAAGGAACCTAAGAAATAGATTGCCTACTCTCTCTGTATTCTGCTCTTTTTCTCCCTTTTAATTTTAATTCAACTGTACAGAAAGCATGTAGTGAAAAACATACCTCCTTCCTCTTCCAGCCCCCAAGGGTTCCTGTCATTCTCCCCAGAGACCAACACTGTTAATAGTTACTTGTGTGTATGATCTTGTTTTATTATGCCTCTATCTTTACACTTGGTGTTATAGTTATTTGAGTGTATATGCTGTTTCCCTTAATACATTGTAAGCTCCTTAGGAGCAAGAACCCCACCTCATAATCTCCCCAAATTACTTGCACATTGAAGATTCTTTATAAATATTTGCTTGGTTAAGTATTTAAAGGCAACTTGGACTAGGGAGCAGAAGACAGGCTCCTCTGGTAACATTCTATAGTTTTCTGTCTTTGGCCATATCCATTACAATCATTTTCCCCCCAGTGACTTGGATGAAGATGTAGAGATGCTTGTCATATATGCAGATGACACAAAGCTGGAAAAGAGAGCTGATAACATTAGATGACACAATCAAGATTGCAGATGAACTTGATAGGCTGGAATGTTCACCTGAAAAGAAAAGGGACAGCCCTGGCCGGTGTGGCTCAGTTGGTTGGGTGTCGTCCCAAGCACCAAAGGTTGCCGGTTTGATTCCTGGTCAAGGGTACATGTCTGGGTAGTGGGTATGCAGGAGACAGCTCATCAATGTTATGCTCTCACATTGATGTTTCTCTCTTTCTCTTCCTCTCCCTTCCCCTCTCTCTAAAAATAAATTACTAAAAAAAAAAAAAGAACAGGGACAAATATAAAGTTCTGTGTTTAAGGGGGGGAAATACCTAACAATGTGGTTACCCAAGTATAGAATTAGGAGATATGTCTTGATAACATTTTATTTGAAGATGACTTGAGGGGGTAAGAGATGGACCTTAATTGCCTTTAAGTTCAATTGAAGTCAGTCAGAATTTGGTTGGAAAAGTATAAATCTCTCCCTCAGGTACTGCAGGTTGGGGAGTACACAAAAACCTGCCTTGGTGTGGACTAGGTCTTTAGGTCTCATGGCAAATAGGGGATAAGTAGATCTCATTAGCAAATATGGGCATATCTTGTGGCTGGCAGTTTCAGTACATACGATACAGGCATTACTCTCTGTACTAGAAAGGCAGAGGTTTCTCAGACAGTGCCCATCTCCCAGTGGAATAGGATTTTAAACTTTGCCTCTTATACATTTTGTCTTTTATATTCAGAGTCTACTGCAGACTAACAGTTTTTCTTCTCCTTTTTTCTTTTTTTGTTGAAAGTGTTGACTTGGAGACAAATAGAGGCCCAGAGCAAGAGTGACAGTGGGACAGCTGCCCAGACTTCCCTGGACATTGAGAAGTAAGTTCAGTGTTCAGGGAGCTCTTGTTTAACATACCATTGCTTGGACCAAAAAGACCAATTCTTCTCTTATCCTGGGTTTCTTTGGCCTGCCAATCAGTTTGTTGCTTGGATGCCTGAATTTCTTTTTCTTATTCCCAGTTTATGTCGGTGTATGTGGCCTCTGTATATCCCTTTTTATTACCTTAAAAAATCCTGCTACCCACTCCACTTCCACATTGCTCTTAACTTTGGAATCAGAGCATAAGGGAAAACAGTAAAGCTAAATTTCAACATATCAGTAGTGGTTTAGGTTACAGTGATTTAGTAGAATACAAGAAAGCAAGAAAATGTGTCACACTTAAACCAAATTAGGGATGCTGAGTTGTATTACTAATGTCTGCAACTTCAGTTTTGTTTAACAATATCTGTCAAAATAAACTCATTCCTTATAACTTAAAATGTGTGTGTGTGTAATAGTTTATTATGTACAGTTAATCCCACTGTTTTGGCTGCATTAAACTAATTTTGAAATTAAAAAAATTTTTCTTTGAATTTGCATATTGGTGTTCGGTGCTTTTGGGAAGCAGGGAGCTATTTTGAGATATAATGGTAACAGAAGTTGAGTTGCAAAAGGTTGGGCAATATGAAAGACTTCCTTGGGTTGTGGTTGCAGCTTGGCTAAGAAAGCACATTCTAAGGGGTTGGGTTTGAGTGGTGTCTCCCAAAAGTAAAGACATTACCAACAATGCATTAGAGCAGTTAGTCATTAGGCAGAAACGTTTATCTTTGAAACACAGATTTAGACCCTAAATTTTAGAGTTGCCTTCCCTAATCCAGTTGAGTGGAGTTATCACTTGCTCCTTTTGGAATCACTGTCGTGTGGACATTCCTCTAGGACTGTATTCATCACAGTGTATTGCAGTAATTTTGTTTTGTTCATTTTTGACATTTCTGTTTCCCTTGCTAGGCTGTTAGTTATTTGAAGGCAGATACTTGCCTTCATTCATGCTTTATTCCCCAGCATCTAATAAAATGTGTCTGAGACAGCAACAACAATACCTATTTGTTTAGCACCTAATACTGTGTACCAGCTACCGTGCTAGGTGCTTTATTTACTGATTTACTGTATAACTCACAATAACTGGTAAGGTAGTTACTCTTTTTTTCTTTTCTTTTTTTTAAATAAACTGAAGAGAAATTGTAAGTAACTGGTTGAGATCATGAGGGCAGAACTGACAAAGCCTACCTGACTTACGCTCCTTCCCTAGTGATACCGTCTCTCACATAGTAGGAGATTAATAAATGTTTTTTGCATTAAGTGATAAATAAATACACTGGTCTGCATTCCTCATAAGGAAGAGTTTTACTTGCATTCTTCCAGATGATTAATATTTTAAAGACCTCCAGAGAAATTCCTCCTTAGAGGCAATCCAAATCTCCCTTGCTGTAGTAATTGAGTAGTAACGGCCAGAAAGAGAAGTCTAAGGTAAGGTAGCAAACTTTGGAAAGTTTTCTGTAGCTTCTTAAAACTAATGATCTTATGAGTCGTGCAGACCTGGCTTCTGACAATTATTAGCTATAGGACCTTGAGAAAAGTCCCTTCTTTTTTTAAAATATATCTTTATTGATTTCAGAGAGAGGAAAGGAGAGGGAGAGAGAGAGATAGAAACATCAATGATGAGAGAGCCATTGATCGAGCCCGCAACCCGGGCATGTGCCCTGACCGGAAATCGAACCCCGATCGCCTGGATCCCAGGTCGACGCTCAACCGCTGAGCCACGCCCGGCCGGGCGAAAAGTACCTTCTTAATAGGGCTGGAGAATTAGTTGGCAAATTGTGTTTGAAGCACCTTCCACCATTATTAAATAATAAATGTTCATTTTCTTCCTTTGTCTCCAATGATTCCATTTTCACCGATGTCCAATAAGCCTTACCTCAAGGACACAATTTCCTCTCCACAAACTCAACTGTTACAAAAAGATAAAAATAATTATGGGTGCCCTGGCCAGTTTGCTCAGTGGTTGGAGTGTCAGCCCTTGGACCGAAGGGTCTCGGGTTTGAGTCCAGCCAACAGCATGTACCTTGGTTGCAGGCTTGATCTCCAGCTCTGGTCGGAGCCTGTGTGGGAGGCAACTGATTAATGTGTCTCCCTCACATCAATGTCTCTCTCTCTCTCTCTCCCCCTTCCACTCTTCTCTCTCTCTCTCCCTTCTACTCTCTCTGAAAAGCAATGGAGAGAATGTCCTTGGGTGAGGATTAAAAAACCCCACAACTGTGTGTATGAAATTATGCAGAAGCCTCTGGCAGAACCACATGCTTTTGGTAACTTCCTAGTTGATGTTGCAGGTTTTCGAATTAAGGAAGTTGGCATATGGACAGACTTGATTTACTAATCAGACAAGTTCATCTACCCTGGTGAAACTGTCATCTTGATTTAATGCTATTGGTGCTCCCTTTTCTGTCTAAATTTTAACTTCCCTTTGAAAAAACTATTACACTTAATTTCAGAAGAGTTTGACAGAATATTTTATGTCTGAAGAGCAATCAGCATTGTTTGAGATAGTTAAAAGTGCTGATTTTATTACCATCCCACTGCTGCAACAGCAGGGTACAGAGAAACAGCCAGGGAAGACCACTAATCACTCAGTCCTTTTGATTGTCATCGGGTTAGTTTTATTGGCGGTCCTGCTGAGCAAATCTGCATTGGTTGACGTGTCTCTTCCACAGAATAACTTTGAGATGTAAAAACACAATTTGAGACAGTGGCAAAAGCAAATCTTAAAACTGCTTTCCCCCTCTTCCTTCTGATTGGCTAGGAATGAGAAGTGTTATCTCTGTAAATCCTTGGTCCCATTCAAAGAGTACCAGTGTCATGTAGAGTCCTGTCTCCAGCTTGCAAGGGATGACCAAGGAGCTGGGCCTGCGGAGAGCGGGAGAGTCTACTCAGCTGTGCAGGGGAAGCAGCGGCAGTGGCTGAGGAAACCAAAGGTATGTGGAGGGTTTTAACAGGGGAGGCTACCTGACCACCTACAGTTCTGTTCTGGGCTTTTTCTCCCCTCCTTTTCTCTCTTGTTTTCTTCTGTTTATCTTGAAACAAGATTTGTGCTTAAAAAAATTTTTTTTTCTTTTAATTAAAAATAATATATGTGCATTGTAGAAAATATGGGAAGTGTTTCTTTTAAGTATGAAGATATTGAATATAAACTATAATTGAAAAAATAAAATAAATTTTAAAAGTATGAGGAATCAGGAGATATTATCAACCATAATTTCTTCCAATCTTTTTTTCTATGTATTTTTAATGTAGTTGGCACCATACTGTGTGTGTGTGTGTATGTGTGTGTATACACTTAACATTGTAGCATAAACACCTTCCTTGTTGTTTTGTTGTTGTTGTTGTTAATCCTCACCTGAGGAAAGTTTTTTCCATTGCTTTTCAGAGACAGTGGAAGAGAGAGAGAAAGAGAAAGATCAAGAGAGAAAGATCGATGTGAGAGAGAAACATCGATTGGTTGCCTCCCGAACGTGCTTTGACCTGGGCTGGGGATTGAGCCTGTAATCGAGATATGTGCCCTTGACCTGGAATCAAACCTGAGACCTTTCAGTCCTCAGGCTGGCACTAACCACTGAGCCAAACCGGCTAGGGCTCTTGGTTTGTTTGTTTATTTATTTATTTATTTAAATAAATCTTTATTGATTTCAGAGAGAGGAAGGGAGAGAGACAGAGATAGAAACATCAATGATGAGAGAGTCATTGATTGGCTGCCTCCTGCACGCCCCCCTTGCTTGGGATCGAGCCTGCAACCTGGGCATGTGCCCTGACTGGGAATCGAACCCCGATTGCCTGGATCCTAGGTCGATGCTCAACCTCTGAGCCACGCCCGGCCGGGTGCTCTTGGTTTATTTTTAAACTATTTTTAAAAATTGCTCTTAATGTTTGTATCACACAGTCACTTATTCATTCTCATTATTGGACACTCAGGTTCTTTCCGGTTCTGTATTATAAGACTGTGTTTAAAATATTAATCAGTCTTTATACCACTGATTC